AACTATAATCTTATAAAAATAATACTGGATCACTTTATTTTTCATTTCTCTAACATTTTTCTTACGAAAAAGAAGAAAATGTATTGTTATTCAATATGAACTAAATGCTACTTTTTCTTAAAATCTTAACTGTATCTATATATATATATAATACATCTGAAAATGTCTCACATTTTTTTTAATATATAAAAATATTTTCTCTTTTAAATCTAATCATCAGTTTCTACTTTGGACTCAGCAAAAAATAAGAAAAAAATTGCAAAATAGCTTAGGTAAATTATATAGGATCTGAGAACCTTATTTACTATATATAGATATTTACCTCGATATTTACTTATAAATATTTATGTCAATAATAAATATAACAACATTTTATCATAAAGTCAAAGCTAGTAGATTATAATATTACATCGCGCTTTCACAAAACAAAAACCAATGTTTCTGCGCTCTAAAACGAATCTTCTGATGAAAAACGTCAGCTTGTTACAAGCCAGGGAAATTGATTTATTGATGTTGATATAATTATTGCAACAACACATGATAAAAATCTCTGCAATGTTGCAGTTATCGGTTATCGATATATCGGAAATTCGGTGGCTATTCTATATGAATAAGTAAGAATGTGCGACGAGAGCTCTTCTCTCCTTAAACTTCATCGCGAAATGGTTGTGGCTGCTGAAATGTTGCTTGCAACTTGGGAAACTGTTTATAATTCATTCGTTTGGAATAACACATCAACGAAATAATGATCTAAGTTACTTCCAAAGCAATATATAAATATATATGTTACGACTTGTTGGAAGCCCATGAGCTTTGCATCGACTTTGTTGAGTAAATTGGATTTGCATATTACAAAGTACGGTATATTTCAAGAGGCAGTTACGTTAAAGGAAATAAACGCTTAATTGTTTCATGCATGCAAGAGTAAGATTTCGTATGACGTGATAGTTATACACGTGTATACAGAGTATCTTCTAGTTCCGACAAAATTCTGAGAAATTTGATTAACCTGAAAGTCTAAGCGCACTTGTCTCTAGATTGATAATGGATGCATTCAGGCAGACATTATTCGCGCTATTTAGCGCTACAAACTGTTCGCGGGTTGCAGATGATCATGACGTTACTAATAGTAATGTGTTATGTCATAACTGCGCGCTATCAACGCTATTTCTTCCGAGGTAGTATATTGGTAGCATTAGCGTTTACAGATCCGTGAACGACCTTAGCGTAGTGTTGGTAGCGTTTAACATTCGTCAAAGTTAGATTAATGTTTAAGGGGATTCTGTTCTCGAGTGTCACTAAACTTTTTTCTCTTAGAATTTCGTAGAGTAAACGTACGTACGTAATGTGTGAATTTCAAATTTTATAATAATGAATGCAATCTCAATTTTAATCTCTACTGATGACTTGCTACTAGGTTGAAATGAACGTAATTCTTTCTTGCTTGTGTATCATCTTTAACTTTTCAAAGTTTCTGCGAAGTGCAGCTTGTGTATTTGATTTCATTATAAATGTGAAAATCAGAGGTATTTTGTTATTGACAATTTTTAATTCCCGCGTACGGAAAAAAATTACTATTGCGGTATAGCGCGGTAGGATATTCCGCTGCAGATCCTTATTAAATATATACTTCTTCTTTTGAAATCGATAACGGATGCTTAAGAGTTTTTCCTTTTATCTGATTAATTTACTTAGTGTAATTATTAATTTTTTGATCTAGTTTCTACATTGTTCACTTCGGCCTAGCGGCAAGCTATCATAGAAATTGCAATTGAGATTGCGTTCTGTTATTTACTACGAGAAAATAAAAAATTTACTTTACAAAATCTTAAAAATTTTAATTATAGAAAAAAATTTGGTTGATGATTGAAAACAGAATCTCCTACATTAACTTAACCTCGAATATATCTCTCTGATTAAACACTACCAACGCTGCGCTAGGATCATTCATGAAAATTGCTAATGTTATCGCGCTATTGGCTCCAAGAACAGCATTGGTAACGTTAGCGTGAATGTCTCCCCGAACATACCCAATATCTCCAGGAAATATTATGTATATCATTTGAAGTAATGCGAAACAATTGAACTGTGTTTAGGAAAATTGTTTTCCATATATAAATGTCGCCTTGCTAGCTTTATATATTTATACATTACTCCCAAAGATTCAAGTATTTCCAAATTTTGAAAAGAATGTTTAATCAACTTTTTTTAAATTTTAATAAATGAGAACAAATAATGCTTGCGAATGTTGTAAGCATCAAATGGAACACACCTTAAAATAATAATGTATGTGAAAGAGTATATACAGAGCCTGAATTCGTGAAAAATATCACATACGAAGATGTACGATAATATTATATTATACATATAAGTTAGGTATATTATAGATTTCGTTAGCTTTTCACATGCGATATTTTACAAGAATCAGATTCTAGTTTACTATACAATATATCGTGTATCCCAGTACTGAAGCAATTTCTATTAACCAATACAAATTTAGAATAGTCAATATTCTATTATAAGTATCAAATATTTTAATATCTCTTATAACAATATTGCAGCAACATTATTTTAAAAGATTGCATTATTTCATAAAACATTGCTGTAATATAGTAGCAATATTCCTATGTCCGCAAAAATAAAATATTGCTGCAATATTTAGAGAAAAAATTGCATATATATTGCTATGACATTATACAATATTTTAATAATTATTCTAGTTTTATTAATTGCTAACATATTATTGTGTGTTCAATATCATATTTCAAAATACATACGATAAAGTTATGATCAAAAAATATTCGGAGGCCTAAGAAGTATCCAAAAAATTGAGATCTCCAGGAGATTCGCTAACTTGAGTTGCTTACTCCTTCTAATAGGACTCTTAGACTCTTCTCTTTACGAGAAGTGTATCTCTTTCGTGGCGGGACTGTGTAATTATTTAATGAATTGAAATATTGCAACAATATATTGCAATATTTTTTACAAAATATTAAATAAAATACAAAATATTACAATATTTTGCAACACTATTGCAATATTTCCAATAAAATGTTAAAATTTCAATATTGTAGTAATATTGCTGCAATATTTCGCTCTAGGGTAGTGTAGGAGAAGTTATACGATTATTTTTTGTCCCGTTTTAGATTAAAGCCTCGCATCCATGTCGTGGTGCAATTTAATTTTCTTCTTCATGTGGTGACGTTAATACAAAACAAACCGAACTTTATATTATTGTTGTATTATTATTCCAGTGTGACATATCGGATGGGATACGCTTTCAAATTTCGCGCTTCACCGATAATATTAATTTGATAGATCCCAATGGCATTTTCTACTGTGTATCTTTCTTGAGGCTTTTATACCGTGGCGATCACGTAGGTATTCGCTATAAAATGTCATTTTGTGAGAGTCCCACGCTGCGGGAGATTTCCGCCTACGAGATTGCGGCGCAGTCAGATTGGCGCCAGTCAGGGCTGTATTAATGTAAGGCAGTGTGTTGAAAGTATACCCGTATGCAAACAACCTCTTTTGCTACCCGCTCTTTCTCTTTCCCCTTGTATTGCTGTTTTGCTAAATATTTGAAAGCTCGCATGTTTTCATGTGCATGTCACATTTTTCATGTGATTATCTACAATCACATGAATGTGAAATGAAATGATATTATTTTATTAAGAAAAACAAACCTTATTTGTCTTTTGCAATAAAAAATAACATAAATTAATTTGATGTACAAGGATTGATGAAAATTCGATAAGAAAAGTCTGCA